ATTTCCTTAGAGATATGCTTGGGCAAAAATCTGCCGTAAAGACTTGTGGTATCTTAGAGTTTGTTAGAGATAGTAGTCGTGTCCGGTATGGACATATCTTGTAATTCTCGGGTATAAATAGACCCCGAGCCCTATGTAAAAACACACATGTTCAATACAATTTCGGCGCATCGCCACCTTTTTGCTTTAGTTTTATTTCGACGAGTTCTTGCTTTCGGGTTGAGCTGCATCGGTTTCGATCTTTAACAAGAGGTAAAACTTGTTATGATGGCTTGTGTTCTCGGGATTAGTGCTTCCATCTTTATGATACTCTAATCTTGTTTACATAATTCATCGAGTTATCATATACCGTACATAATCTCTGGCAATATCACTATCTAACCTACAATCGGCTAACATCTGTTAGTAGAGGGCAGCCGATTAGGTTAGATTTTGATGTTGATTTAGATTATATAAGATATCCACCACTCTATGAAACTTCCAGCGGCTTGATTGTCTAGATATTGTTCTTCTTTTCATACTTAATGCTGCATCAGTTGAGTTTGATCTATTAAGTCGTGCTTAGAATATCAATCTCTAGCCTGCCTTCTGGTTGCCGATTAGGGTAGTATCGGAGTTTCAGTCGATCTTATCTGATTTAACCATATTCGCTCTATATGCTTCAGTGACATGTTAAATCCGCCCTTTATGTCAAGATCTTATTGCATTTAAGTATATTAAGCTTTTGTTTGATATATTATACTTGTTTTAATATCCTGATATAGAGTAGTATCGGAGTATTAGCCGATACATGCTAGATCTATATGATCGGCTATGCTATAAACATATATAGTCCTGTTATTAATATATATTTCGATCCAAGTGATTTATACTGTCTCGGCATGGCGACCGATCTATCCTAATCACTTGATTTAAATATATATCGATATAAGAATTATATATTGGTAATATCTACAGCCGATCGAGTAAGTTTAGTTCTTTATTATCTATTTATAGTTGCCGATCGATTCACATATGACATCGGCTCAAAGATAAATGATATGTCATCGGCACTTAGCCGATCGGCTATCATTTATAGATTTAACCGCGATCTCTTTGTTTCTATTTCTTGTTGATTGCAGGATCAAATCAACTGGCACGCTAACACACCCGAAGGCAAGCTTTGGACCTGCACTGGAGTTAAGCAGATCTCCCAGGCCTCGTGTTTTACGTCAACAGACGCCCAAGCGGCACGGCGCGGTGGCAGTGATGGCAGCAGCGTCAGGGTTGGCGTGTGGTCGAGAAGAGAAGGGAGAGCATGCTCGTCGCTCGCTATTGAGACTTGTGGTGGCGGCGGCGGCGGCCGGAGCAAGTAGCTCGCCGTGGCGCGGCATGCTAGCCGCGGTGCAATCCCTTGCCATCGTCACCCTGCTGCCGCCCGCCGCCGTGCACCTCCTACTGCTGCCGAGAAAACATGGGAGAGAGATAGACGGGTAGAGAAGGAGGGAGAGTGAATGGGAGTATGATAGGTGGGCTCCACTTTAATTTTTATTTTCTTTGATGATTAGGATGCCACGTGGACGTCACATCAGCAAATACCACTATCAATACTATCATAGGAATTAAATTACAACAGTTTCAATAATTAGAGGGTCAACATATCTGGTATTGCGGTTGAGAGGTACAAATCAGATTAGAGAGGTAGTCGAGGGACTTAAAGTGAACTTATTCCTTCTCGGACGTGGACCAGAGACGCGGCCCATCGGTGCTGGACCGCCGCAAGCCCAACCCGTACGTGCAGCGTGTAGCAAAGCGAGATGAGCGGCGGCCGCGGCCGCGACCGCTCGCGTGACCGGGCGGCGCGGCGGGATGGATGACGACCTCGTCTCGTCCGCCGAATGGCGGTGGTAGAGTGGCGTCACACGGGACGGTGGCGGTTGCTGTTGGCACGTCTCCCGGGCCGTCGGATCGTAGCGCATCTCACACGGCCTCAATCGTTTTGACGACCTGTCCCCGTCTCCGGCCTCAACTCCGAACCACCCCCCCCCCCCCCCCCCCACATTTCTGGCAATTTCCTCTCGGTTCACTCGCCGCTTTCTACGCGGGGCGCGGTTGAATTTCGCCTCTCTTTCCGTTTGTGTCCGCGACACAAATTGCACACTTCCGCGCGCACACGGACGGCGTTCACGCGGAGGAAAAAATGTAGCGAGTGTGCGTTCGCACAATCTTGCCAATTTTGTATGCACAGAGGTAGCTGAAATGTGTACTTGACACATGAAAGGAAAAAAAAACGCAAAACAATTCCTGATTGTGTCCCACACACACACACACACACACACACAAATCTCCTGGTTCTATCAAAATGATTTTGACACATTGCTTGTGGGAGTATGTTTGATACAGATAGGGTTGAGGTTTACTCCGTGTTCTAAGCATTATATGATCATTGATGGATGATTTATTTTAAAAAATCATGATGAGCAACCTTTTGTTTTGTAAAAAATGTGAGTAGTCGCAAAGTTATGTGTTCACACGGCATACATTTAACTATATGCCTTTTTTAGTCATGGTACACCAATGGATTCAAACAGAGCTGATAACCCTGAAAAAAACAAAGCTAATAATCACATCATTTGCTACGGACACCCAGTCCATCTACTTTGTTCTTTATGTCAAGGAATGAGCTATAGAAGTATAAACGGTATGAGTGGATCGCAAAACAAGTCCAAAGGATGACATCCCATTTATTATCTCCACATATGGAAAATTACTGCATTTAAAAGGTATATACATAAATAGTAAGAATGTAAATGATTATTAATGAGGTGTGTAAGAATCGCTAAATATGTTATATCATTGACATCGTACCTATATCACATAAAAATGTCTATTTCAAAATTAAATCTAACATGTTAATGTGCACTTGTAAAGCAGGTTAGCACAATTGTATGTGTTTGATTTAAAGCCCACGCCGCTTCTTGTAGCTAGAACATTTTGTCGCATCCATCTTGCTGAGCTTTGAAACTATCTGACTGCATCTAGAAGTAGGTGTATCGTGCATCACCACATCTCCAAGATATACTCAATAAATTCATAGACGCTCATTCTAAACTTGTATGCATTATTGTATGCAGCCTATGCGCGCCCGTATCAACTCTATATAACTACATGGAGAACACACTAGAACTAATCTAACCTCCATAGATTGCACTTCTAGATGAAGATGTATCTAGGAATAGTCGAAACTGTAATGATCATTGTGGTAAGTAAAAATCAATACATGTCATGTAATTGACCTTATACTCCCTCCGTACTCATAAAGGAAGTCGTTTTGGACAGCAACACGGTCTCCAAAACACAACTTTGACTTCTTGTTGCTATAAAATATTTATTGAAAAATGATTTATGTATATTTTTATGAAAGTTTTTTTCAAGAAAAATATATTCATATAATTTTTACATTTTCAAACTCAACAACTTGAGAGTTATTTATAATTTATATTCCCAAGGTTTAACTTAAACATTGTCCTAAACGACTTCTTTTACGAGTACGGAGGGAGTATTTGTTTGGGAGTTGTGTCTAGGAAAGGCGATATGTATCTTGACGTCATACATATATATATCATAAATAAATATATATAGTATATATTAAACCAAACGTGTCAATGTACACTTGTAAAGCAGGAAAGTTCTATACCTTCAATTTATCACCCCCGCCGCTTCTTATAGCTAGAATGCTTTGTCGAGCTTGCAAATGGAAAGTAGGTGTGTCGTTTGTCACCCCATCTCCAAGATGTAGAAACTAATATATCTCGATAAATTTATAGACATTCATTTGAAACTTACACACCATGCTCGTATCAACTCTATACAATCGCACGGGTTCACACGCAGGGTTTACCAAACCGTTTTGGGTGGGGTTACCGTCACACCACGGTTTGGCGGTTATAGCGAGGTATACTGTGGTTCAAAAAACTGAGAAGGTTACCGCACGTGATAACCACAATAACCGTACGATAACCACGTGGTTTTGTAAACCCTGTTCACACATGAACTAATCTAATCTTGAATATTGTGTATTAAATCTATTGTGTTACTGTACACCTGTAAACTAGTAGCATGACGGTATACCTTTAGCTTATCGTCCACGTCGCGTCTAGCTTATAGATAGAACATTTTGACACATACTTCACGCTAATGTTGAAACTGTGTGCTTGCACCTAGAATTAGGTGTCCAGATCATCACTCCATCTCTGGAATGTATACGCCGATATATCTCTTAGATGTTTGTTTCGAATTTATTATTGCCCGCAACGTACCCACAACCTCATCGACTCTATAGAAATTAACCGATGGAGAGACGATTTCCATCCCATCCTAAGTCCTTTAAAATCTTGAGAGCTAGTGTCTCCTAAGAATCATGGTAGTGATTCTGATAGCAGAGGTGTCCCTAGAATAGAGTAAGATTGCTAATAGTTTCATCTTGTCATAATTAAGTTGTGTAAGGAATAGGTTTGTTAGCCAAACCATTCTGAATAAAATTGGATTTCGAAAGCGTGAGAGATAGTATGTACTACCTCCATTTCAGGTTATAAGACTTTCTAGCATTGCCCACATTCATATAGATATTAATGAATCTAAGTACACATATATGTCTAGATTTATTAACATATATATGAATGTGGGCAATGCTAGAAAGTCTTATAATATGAAACGGAGAAAGTAGTAAGTTGCGGGATGAACACAATTTTCTGTAGAAGTTTGAGTGCTAGTGTATCTCTCCTAGTAATCATGGCAATGATTTTATCGAAGAGGTGTCTCTAGAATGTAGTAGAATCGGCGGCAAAGGTTTCGCGCAGTCAGTTGTGAAAGGGATAGTTTTGCTAGCAACACAATCCCCCCTCCCCCCCCTCCTAACACACACACACATCCACACATATCTTTGGCTTCTCGTCTACATCGCGTCTAGCTTATAGATAGAACAATTTGTCGCATACTTCTCGCTAGCGTTGAAACTATGTGCCTACAGATAGAAGTAGGTGTCCCATCATCACTCCATCTCTAGGATGTAGACGCCGATATATCTCTTAGACGATTGTTTCAAATTTATTATTGCCCACAGCCCACAACCACATCGACCCTATATAAACCGACGAGGAACCATTTCCATCCCATCCCAACTCGTTCAAAACTTGAGAGCTAGTTCCTCTGAGGAATCATGGCTGTGATACCTATAGCAGAGGTGTGTCCCTAGAATAGAGTAAGGTTGCTTGTAGTGTCATAAGTGGTGTAATGAATAGGATCGCTAGCGAAACCATCTTGAATGGAATTGGATTTCGAAACCATTTTGAGTGGTGTAATATAATTTTTCGTTGAAGTTTGGGTTTTAGCGTATCTCTCCTAGGAATCATGGCAGTGATTTTATTGAATATGTGTCTTTAAAATATAGTAGAATCGCTAGCAAAGGTATTTTGCAGAAAGTTGTGAAAGAGATAGTATTGCTAGCAAGAAAACCCCCCCTCCACACAGACACACATCCCACCCCACCCACATACACACACACAAACAGTAAGTTGTGTCTTGTGAGAGAATTTTTTTAAAAAAGAAAAAACTGTGGGAGGAACAGGGTCGCTACCAAATTCATCATGGGGTAAGTTGCAGGGTACCCGGAGCAGGATAGCCACCGTTCACTCAAAAAAGGGCCTACCCTTTATTGCATCACTCGACTCCAACTATAGTCAACTCCCATAAACAAAACTAGGCTCTCCTCTGCCCTCCCTTTCCTAAAAGGTCAACTCATCTCTCCATTCCCCCCCGATCCCCAAAATCCAAAGCCCGAGAGAGGGAGAGAGGAGAATGGGCAATGGCATCACCAAGAATCCGTGCTTCTCCGGCGACCCGTACGCCGCCGCCGTGGCGTCCGACCCTCTCCCGGACGACAGCCACGGCCACTCCTTCACGTACGTGCCGTCCTCCGCGGCCGCCTTCGACCACTCCCCGAGGTCCGCCGCGGCGTCCTCCGAGACGTCATACTTCTCGCTCTCCGGCGCCGCCATCAGCGCCAACCCGGCGACGTCCGCGTCGATGCCGTCGTTCCGCCTCTACAACGAGCTGACGTGGCCGCCGTCGACGGCCTGCACCTTCGAGAGCTCCCGCTCCTTCGCCGCGGCGCCGCTCATCCAGGCCGCGCCGCCCAGGCTGTCCATGTCCGGGCCGCTCCACGCGACGTCGGGGCGCTTCTCCGAGGCGTCGGGATCGGCCTCCACCGCCTCCGACCGCTTCTCCGACCACCCGTTCATGGACGGCATGCTCGACCGCGCCTCGTCGGCCTCCTCCACCGCCAGGCTCATGCCCAGCTTCTCTCACCTCATGTCTGAGCCCCGCGTCGCGCAGTCCGGCCTGAGCAATGAGCGATCGCTCATCCGATCCCTTGTCAGGGTCGCCTCCAAGCTCCGGTTTGGGGTGCCGCTCTCCGGCCGCCGGTCGAATGGACCTGCCGAACCGACGACCAAGAGCGACGGCGACTACCGCTCCACGCCCAAGGGCAATGTGGAGTGGGCGCAGGGCATGGCCGGCGAGGACCGGTTCCACGTCGCCGTCTCCGAGGAGCACGGCTGGGTGTTCGTCGGAATCTACGACGGCTTCAACGGCCCCGACGCAACCGACTACCTCTTCGCCAACCTCTACGTCGCCGTGCACCGCGAGCTCAAGGGCGTGCTCTGGGACGACATACAAGGCGTCGACGTCGTCACGGACAACCTCCCGGACCCTGCTCTGGCCAATGCCACACACCTCTGTTTCCTTGACGCAGGCGGCGTCGGCGGCGGTGGCGACGACGACCCCGACGCAGAGCGCAAGGCGAAGAGGGGGCGGATCGAGCGCAATGCCGATGACGACGGCGCGTCGTCGGTGCACCGCGACGTCCTGAAGGCGCTGGCGCGCGCGCTGGCGAGGACGGAGGAGGCGTTCTTCGCGGCGGCGGAGGAGCGCGCGGCGCAGAGCCCCGAGCTGGGCCTGGTCGGGTCGTGCGTGCTGGTGATGCTGATGAAGGGCAAGGACGTGTACCTGATGAACGTCGGCGACAGCCGCGCCGTGCTGGCGCGGCGGCGCGAGCCGGACTTCAAGGACATCTTCTTCAGGCCCGACCAGGACTTGCAGCTGCTCAAGGCCGAGGTGATGCGCGAGCTCGAGGCGCACGACAGGAATGGCCTCCAGTGCGTGCAGCTCACTCCCGAGCATAGCGCCGCCGCCGAGGAGGTAAAATAAAAAATAAAATTGCCCCATTCTTTTACACTATCTTCTCATCCTTTGTGTCGTAGTATGAACACATTAAACTATCACATCTTTTGTTAGCGTACATGTACTGTAGCTTAACTGACAAAAGAGAAAAAAAATGAAGTTATTAGTTGATCAAATTGCTTGTGGAATTTTTTTTATTTTTTTTGGGTTGGTGCAGGAAGTGAGGAGGATCAGGTCCCAGCATCTGACTGATCGGCAGGCCGTCGTCAACGGCAGGGTGAAGGGGAAGCTCAGTGTTACCAGAGCATTTGGTGCCGGCTACCTGAAGCAGGTATGGGCCTATATAAAGTGCTTCTTCTGTAGTTCTGTTTCTTTTGTACTGTGCCACATCAAGTACATATTTCTATTGTCAAGAGTCTGCTCTGTTGTGCATCATGCAGTTACTGATTTATCTTTTTCTTCAGCATCTAGCTCACTGAACACGTGCATTTCTCTGAACATGTTAGATGTAAGTAGTAGTGGTCGAAGAACTTACTAAGAGTAACGTCCTGTCACAAGAAAAGAAAAGAGTATTAAAGGAAGTGTGTGAAACGAATGATGTAGGTCTTCTCCTTAAGACAATCTGTTTTCGTCAGGCTTTGGCATCAGTAGGCCCTCTAATTCACACGTCCGTACTTGATTAGGCACTGTCCAACAGTTAGCTGAACAGCGATGCTATAGGCTGTGCTTGTTGACGAAAAACCTAAAAAAGGGCTGCGATTGTGACTCGCAATTCGTGCATCGATCCCACCCTGAAATTTCGACATAACCCACACTAGCAAAGAGAACAGTTTATCCATGTTCATCTCGATTTTCCTCTTTGCATTGAAACTACAGCCAAAAACCACCGTATAGTTTGCTCATATATCAACCTGGTTATCTGACATTTTCGGTGCCTCCGTTTTTTTGTTCCTCGCAGCCAAAATGGAACGACAGGCTGCTTGAAGCCTTCAAGGTTGATTACATCGGCGCCGAGCCATACATCAGCTGCACGCCGTCGCTGCGCCACCACCGGATCAGCTCCAACGACAGGTTCCTCGTGCTGTCTTCTGACGGGCTCTACCAGTACTTCACCAACAAGGAGGTGGTCGATCAGGTCGCCATGTTCACCGCCGAGCAGCCCGACGGCGACCCGGCGAAGCACCTCGTTGGAGAGCTCGTCCTCCGCGCCGCGAGGAAAGCCGGTGAGCAAAATACAATGCCCTCCTGTTTGACATTTAACAGATTGTTGCAAATTTAACTTGATTTCTTGAGCTTAGCTTGACAATGCTGTCATGATCGATTATGCAGGCATGGATTGCCGCAGGCTGCTCGAGATCCCGCATGGCGACAGGAGGAACTACCATGACGACGTGTCCATCATCGTCATGTCGTTCGAGGGGAGGATATGGAGATCGTCCGTTTAGGCTTTGCCAGGCCTGAACAAACGCCAGAAGCTTCAGAAGAGAGTCGGATGCCTTGCTTCGTTTAGGCTATAGTAGGCTACAGTAGACATCGGAAAAGGCAAAACAAAACAGTAGTAGTGCCCAAGCACATGTGCTCAACACCTAAAAAAAAAAAAGAGCACATGTGCTGATCTCCTAAAAAAATCTAAAAAAAAAAAGAGAAAGAAAACCAACAAGTGCATAAGCTGATGTGCCATGATCGAACTGCCTAGTTCGAATCATGTGTTCTTCTTTGTTTGTTTGTTTTGTTTTTTTTTTTTTTTGCCGAAACTGCTGTACATAGTTCGGCAGGAGGAATGATGGTAGGTTCATGTAATTAGGTTTTTCGGCATGATGGCGATATAAAGAAGAAGAAAGCATATGCCCAATAATAACTGCTGTGTTTGTCGGTCTCAACAAGCCAATTCTGGAATCGATTCGGATTACCTTAGCAGCAATGGGCAGGATTCCTATTGCTGAAACCAAATTATTCTACATGCATTCCATCATGCACATCTTGAGTAACCGAGTTACTTGAGGGGTACTTGGTTTATTTTTGCCTGCCCTTCTTTCTCTTCCTCGTATGCAATGACTTCATAACTAAAAAAAAACGCATACAGAGAGAAAAATGCACCTCTAGAACAAGAAGAAAAAACAGAGAGGAACGGCTATAGAGTTTTGACATAGCAAACAACTGGTGCAAGCCCCATGTACGTCACTTGTGTTATAAAAAACCAGAAAGGTTTGAGCTCTGAACAGGCCAATTTTTAATGTAGAATTGATGGAGATGAAACAACAGAAGCAACTAATTAAAGAAGACACAATGGACAACAACATCGACAAATTAACTCCCAACTGGTGTGCCTGGAAAAACGACAACAGTACGTACGTCAATGGAGCTTTGTATTTATAAAATGCTCTCCAGAGAAACAGAGGAGAAGAAGAATCTACGTTGATTTCCTGGGTTTGAATCTCCCGGTCCAAGTTGAGAATTCGATAACTTCGGAAAGCTTTCCAGAGGAGGGAGAGGACTCGCCGTCGCCGGGAACATTGTTTAGGCCATGTTTTTGCTTAGGTCAACTCTCGCATCCATCCATCCAACAAGCCTAGTGTTGAGACCTATGCTAGCGTAAAAGAGAGCGTAGAAATTTATTTGAGCAAGTGGCAATAAAAAGGCCGCATCGAGACATGACCCGTGTCTATGTGCTAGATATCCGATCGACGATGTATATAGTTTGGCTTTTGAGTGAAGGAGTTTGCACGTTTTTCTCGTCAATTTTAATGGCTGTCCAAGTGCGTATTCTAGCTTGCGGGGTAATTAAGCAATTTTAATCTTTGTGCTGTTAATCTAAAGAAGAATCATATCATTCTCCATGTACTTGTACTGCTAATACTGATGTACACGTAAAATTCACATTTGTATCGAAAATCATATTACCTCTGGTTATAAATATTTGATGTTTAGAATAAAATTTGATTAAACTTTTAAACTTTAACTATGATTTTTTATATTAGATTGAGTTTATAAAAATTAATGAGTTTGTGATATTATGATAGCACTGGTCAAGGCAAATCTATAAATATTACTCCTACTTGACATTTTCTTTAACATTTAGGGCAAGATTCCGTCAAACTATTGAAATTCCAACAAATAATTTCATATTAGAATTAATTTATAAAACCTAATAAGCGTGTGATATTATGATTGTACCTTTTTTTTGGCAAATCTACTCATGCATTTATTTTTGCCTCTATACTTAGCATGTGAGAAATTATTGGTTATAGTGATTTTTTATAGGAGGGAGTTTTTATTTTATTTTTAAACTAATCATTCAAGAAGTTGTTAATGGTCGAAGTTTTAAAAGTTTGATCAAATTGTATCCTAAATATCAAATATTTGTGATCAGAAAAATTATTTATATGCACGACATAACATCTAAAAGTCTTTGAAGTACCAAAAGGTACTATACCTTGTATTGTCCACATCTAGCAACTTGCCAGTGGGGAGGTATCAAGAGATAACACAAATTAACAATAGGATATATGCTTATCTTCCCTATCACTCAACCGTAATATTTCAATGGTGAAATATTTGCCAACAACTACGGCGATTAAAGTATATCACTAATGATCACCATAGATATGTTGAGCTAGAGTTATCGATGATCTACAAGGTGTGTGCATGACATTTCCCTTAAGGCATGTTCAATAATGGAGTCCACAAGCTCCATTGTTTCATCTTCGGCCTATCAGTCGCAGCCAACATTTAAATTCTAGAACTTAAGTTTAGAGTTGCTATAAAATGATATCTATACCATATAAGGTATAATTGTTGCAATCTATTAGCTACATGATTTTCTACTAAAATGACCTCTCTTACCATTTTCCCCTCATTATCTTTCTTATCCATTTTATTTCTCCCTCCTAGAGCACCATAGCGTATACTCCTCTCCTTTATATTCCTCATTTATCCATATGTGTAAAAATGTGACATAAGCATGCTATAAGCTCACTGATATTGTATTTTCTTAGTAGAAATATTAGTTGTTTTCAAAAGAAAACCATATTTTGTTTATTTGTAACAACTCAACCTAGTTTTTTTAATCATTATAGGAGCATACTCAATATCCATGACCCAGAGTGATCAAAGTTGGAACACAAAACCTATTTTAATTGCCATAATGTTTGATGACGACGAGGGCCCTGTAGTGGTTCCCACGTCCTAATAAAAACACGCCGAACCACCTCTACCGATTTCCCAACCACCCCTCCGATTCAACACCGGCAGCCCTTGGATGCAAATACAACATCAGCAGCAGCCCTTGGACGGGAGTACAACGCCAGCGGCATCCCTTGGACGCGAGTACAACGCCAGCAGCAGCCCTTGGACGCGACTACAACGCAAGCAGCAGCCCTTGGACGCGAGTGCAACGCCAGCAATAGCCCTTGGATGCGAGTGCAACGCCAGCAATAGCCCTTGGAGGCGAGTACAACGCCAGCAAAAGTCCTTGGACGTGAGTACAGCGCAAGCGGTAGCCCTTGGATGCGAGTACAACGACAGCAATAGCCCTTCGACGTGAGAACAACGCAAGTAGCGGTCCTTGGACGCGAGTACAACGCCAGCAGCAGCCCATAGGCTTGGATTTAGCACCGATAACTATTGTCGTGTGTGAATCCAATGTTGGATTCAAGGTTTGAGATTGACCCCAAGTTCCTTCACAATGTTTGTCGCCAAACTTAGGTGTCTTATGATAAAGTTCCACGTTATTGAGGATGCTCTAAATGTCATCAATACCATGTAGGAGAATGTCAAACGAAACCCATTATGAGTAAAGAAAAGATATGATATCCAAAAGAAGAAACCTAGGTAGAACAATTTGGTCAATGTTAAAGATACAAAAAATAGAGAAATTCCTTATATAACTTGAACATGTTTAATTTAACCATTATTTTATTTCTACTTCTAATAGGCATATCAAATAACCTTAATGCTAGCACCTCGTTTATCAAAAACTATTAATCCATCCATATATGTATGAGACGCATAGACCGAACAACAGAACAACATAAGTAGTATTGCATATGAGTCTGATGTATGGGTCCAACTTATTACGTGGACCATGTTAGTAGAGTTGCTTTTTTATATATACAAAATCATGTGCTAGATAGTTCAGTTTTCTTATAGAGAAAAACCCTTGTGTACCCCTGAAACTTTACCCAATCCCTTAATATGCCTTGAGTTTTGCTCATTCCCTTATATATCCCTAAAATTTTGGTTCCATTCTACATCATTTCCGTTAGTTGACCATTAAATTCTTAGTAAAATGTTCATTTTACCCTTTGGTATAAAGAAACATATAAATTTATGAGGTTTTTATATTTATGACTTTGTTATTATTTATGCCAAAATTTATTTTAAATATGACGTAAAAGAATAATATTTATTTTTAATTATTAAAAATCTTATAAGTAGCATATTGTTGTTGACTGTAGTACAACATATTTGTTGTATAAGGCAAATCTATTTATATGCTACATAAACAATTTTTAATAACTAATGAATAAATTTTAATTTTAGTGTCACATATGTAAATAAATTTTATCTAAATAATATCTCGCATAACAAACTAATAAATATAATAGTTTCATACTACAAATTGTTACCCTCCAACAATATACTCCATATATTTATACCCAAGGGAAAAAGGTGGATAGGTTCCACCACAAGTAACCTAACTAGTTAAGCCACGCCCACTTCACATAGTATATAATATTCAATTTTAACTTTACAATCAAGTAGATAATATCAACTTCAAAAACATAATCGGTCAACGTTCATCCATGAATATTCTAATTAGAACGAAATCTAAGTTTATTTATCTCTTTTATATGTTGAACATTACTATAGTGTTGGCCTGGTGGGCGACTCCATAATATGTTAGAATTGGAGGGGTGGACTCCAATAGTAGTCCAGGCAATGCTTAAGGGGATAAGAGGGATAGAAAAGAGAAGAGAGAGGAAGGGAGGGGGGGAGAGGAGAGTCTATCACATGTGAGTTCCACCAGCCACGTCAGCAAACAACAGCTTCCTAAACCACTGAAAGAGTCGGTTTGCACTAGTTTTCGAAGATGTGGGAGACCTTATTCCAGGTTTTGTGGTTGAGGGAAGCAATTCAATGACGAGCAAGATGATGAGGGATGCAAAATAGACTTATTCCATGATATTAAACTAACTATAATTATTCAGGCCTATTTTATCCTGGAATAAGTCCACTTTGACTCCCTTAATACAATCCTAATATAATTCATATCCATCATCCTCAATACTGGAATCTTGATTGCTCCAACTATAAAAAATCGGTGCAATTTAAGTCACTCTACGGTTTTGAGGGTGGTTTTCACTAACAAGACATCTTGACTTGGTCCGCCCTATGCTGATGTGGTTGCCCAGTCATAAAATAAAAGTAGGTCTCACAAGTAAGTGACTATAGAAAAAATAAAAACAATATGGGCTCACTTGTCATCCTCACAATCCCGCTCTTTTTCCTTCTTCCTAGCTCTCTTCCCCAATCTCTCTCCTTCCTCTTGCCCTGTTGGCAATGGCTAGGGAGGGAGCAGTGGCAGGCGCTCAACGGTTGGCATGGGAATTAGGGAGAACGAAAAGAGGGAGAGTAGTAAGATAATTACTTCCATGTGGGTCCCATGACTTTTTTAAAATTTTTATTTGCTGACTCTGCTGTCACGTGAGCGAAAACTGCCATCGAAACTGCTGAGGGAGTTAAATTGTACCGGTTTTAATAGTTGGGGTCAATATATCTCGTATTACGGATGAGGGATACGAAACAGATTATAGAGCCATATAAAGGGAGTCAAAGTGGACTTATTCCTTGTGTGGTCTACCGTAATGGCCTGATAGTAAGCCCAGCAATGCTTAATGTGCTGATAGTACCACAGTCCAGCCCGTTTCATGAAAAGCGCGGTTGGGCTCGGGTGTTTCCCAAAGGAGTGGAGTCCCTTCGCCGTGCCGTTCCGTCTGGCTCCTCCGATCTCCCCCAGAAATCGTCGTACGCCCAGTCGCCTTCGACGGCGCGAGGCCGGCGCATGGGTGCGAACGAAGGCGGGGCAGCATGGTCCGCTCGGCACGGCTGTCGGCGGCCGCAGAGTTCGCCCGCAAATCGTCTGAGAAGAGGCGCAGGTATGCACCCCCCAAACCCAAACCCGAAGCACGATCGCCTGAAAAAAAAAAAACAACAAACACTGTAGTGTTTATTCGCTTGCTGATCAATCGCCAGCAGGAGAATCCCGCATGTTGCATCTCGGGACGAATAAACAGAATCGCTGGACTGCATCCTGTTATTGCGTTGTTATTTATATACTCACTCCGTTCTAGAATAAGTTATTAATAATGTGATATATCCTACTTAAAACTTATAGTATTAAAATATATGTCGAGTATTAGTAGTACTTTATCTGTCCTAAAATATAGTAAACTTATATTAGATGAGACACATCTGGTTATACTAGCATGTATCTTATCTCCGATATAAGGTTGCTATATTTTAGAACTGATGGAGTAATATTTTACGTTTTTCTGGATCTGGAATTCGGGATGGGATATCATAGATAAAGCTCTGCAAGGCAAGCTTTTCGTGGTGATGCAGGTGGGAGTGGATGGTGCAGGCGTGAGGTCTGCACATTGAGCAGGTTCTGCCCATGATCTCCTGTTTACTGCAAAAACTAATGCATACAGAACATTTAACTCGCCACACTCCATAAACCATACAGATCACACTTATTGACCTGCATAGAGTATTAAGATCATTTGGCCGTGTGCATCAACGATTCAGAGATTGGCATTTTTATGACGCATTTTGGAGACCATTGCACAACACTCTCTGAAGCTCATGTCGTGCACCTGACGAGTAAAACTATCTACTCCTAGTAACTTGGGAAAAAGTAAACCGGTAATTAGATTAGACTGCGGAATTTAATCTTTCGGTACGGTCCAATTACACCTTCCCGTGATGGTTTTTAGCCAATTGGCCCATTTTTTTCGTTTTTTTTTTCAGACACGCTGACAGCAGTATTACTTCTTCCACAGACCCTGTGGAGGTGATTCGTGTACCCTTCCCTTTTGGTCCCATCCACTGCTGACCTGAAGTAGTAACTCCATAGTTTTACAATGTTACATGTCTCTTTCGTTTCTCCCTTTTTCCTCTCGCTTTGCCTGTTGTAGCTCATGCCTGCTTGTGCCTCCTGGATATTCTTTCAGGCTTTTTAATCGAAGTGATAGGTCAGTTTTGTTATCTATACTGCACCACTACGTCTAGTACTAGTACACTAGCACTATACTAGTTTGCTTATCCTTTCTTTTAACTCTAAAGAGGATATACTTTGAAGTACCCACTGTGTAACTGGAAACAATGTTAGGGCAATAAACAGTAGTGGGTGACCTGTGCATGATTGTTGCAATTTAATGACAAAGCTGATAGTATTAATCAGGGAAGATAAAAGGCATTTGATTATCTGGTGCCTAATTTTTATCTTGTCTTGTGGATCCTTTTATACGTGCCATGCTTGCTTGTTGCTTGTAAGCTGGAGGTATTGGGGCATAGTGTAGGAGCCTTCTGTCGATTTGTTATCATGATGATGCAAAAGGGGCTCCATAATTAGTAGTAGTAGTTGTTGTTGTTGTTGTTGTTGTTTATTGTTGTGTCCAACTTTTCTGCTGATTGTTCTTAGGGTAGTAAAAGAACTGTTAAGTAGAGCAGTACCAAACTACTAGTACCAATTGCCTCTGGTAGTTGGCTAGAGAAAACATTTTTTGCACTTTGCCATAGTTAAGTATCTTATCTTATATTACTATATGATGATAATGATACTATTACATCTTATCTTATATTACTATATGATGATAATGATGCTATTACTATACTAAACCAGGCATTGTACCGGTTCTATCTTGGTGAAGAAGTTTTGCGCCGGTTTCTAAAAGAACTTCTGGGTGGTGACAGCGGCTGTCTGGTTGGTAGCAGACTAGCAGCACATAAACACAAGCATACACACACTCAGAGTTGGATCTGGACCCTGAACATGATCTAGCTTGACTTTGATGAGATGCTGAACAGTAATTATTTCCGATCTACGCAAGTTTCGTCGTCACTGGTTTGGTCTGATGCTGATTCTTGACTGCCATTGAGAGAGATCCTTGCAAAAGGGCAAAAGGGTATGGGAAAAAAAAGAAAAGGAGAGAAAGGTCTACTGTGACGTCTCTCTTTCTTCATGGTCAGGTGTCGCAGCGTCTCCTTCCAATCTTCCCCTGGACACTTTCTGCGACGTCGTCGCTTCTTTCTGACGAGAGTTTGCTATTCCTGAGTCCTGATGAGGATGTGATGTCAAGTCGATTCTCCTCGGTTTCCCCACAAGGCTGACTCCATTCAGGCATCAAGTGAGGAGTCGCTGTCCCTCTTCCTTCACCATCTGTTCCTGCCATTTCTCCTGCTGAACTGAACCATCCCTCTTCCTGATGAGCTCAAGAATGCTCCATGCCTCCATGGCAAATTTCACTGCTTCTTGAGACAAAAATGTTGCTCATTTGTAGTGCTCCCTCACTGCTTCTTGAAACAAAAATGTTGCTCATTTGTAGTACTCCATTTCCCAATTTTTCTTGGGGCTTGTCCTAGTAAAGCACAAGTAGTAAGCTGTACAGTGCCATAAACCCATACCTATATGAGCTACACATGCTGACTGGAGTCTGGAGACAGCCATGAAGGCATGAACAGTGTGTAGTACATTTGCCACCTCAGCGCAGTTGATCCAAAGGGAAAGTTGCAACAATCTACGTCCCCAGTTTGGCCATTATTAATGGGATCCTAAGCTTCAGTCATCATCAGATCACAAATAAGGACCCCAAAACTAGACAAGATTGGACAAAGTCTGAAGATAGCACCTGAGCAATGTAGCCCCATCTCCAGATAGCCAATTATAAAGCAGTCACATGGATTTGTTTTGGGTTCTCATTATCATATCGGTCCAAATCTCTGAACCTGGCATTTACAAATTTTCAAGAACTCCACTGGAAGTGCTGGGGGCTACCAAGCATGCAAGGACTGCTTATTTGGATTTACACAGCGTAATACAGCATGGCTCAAATCTACACAGATGGAATAGCTCATTTTCTTGAGGAAAAAATAATAGTAATAATCTACAAAAAATAGTAGCTCATTTGCCGATCGGTTGAAGAAGACTACGACGACGACGACAATGGCTTGTACCAGGATGATCGTGTCCACTCTGACTCGATCCGATGAGTTGCGTGCTAGGGCTTGTCGACGTCGACGTGTTCGCTGCTGTCGGTTCGCCGTCTGCCCATCTTCCCGATCGACGACGCAATGCTGCCCATGATGCTGCTGGTGCTGCCGCCGTCGCCGCTGGGGTGGTTCACCGCCCGGCGAGACCTCCTGTGCAGCGGCGACGCCAGCCTGCTGCCCGCCTCCTCGTCGTCCTCCTCGTCGTCGCCGCCTGCTCTGGTCTTGGTCGTCGCCACCACCAGCCGGGAGATGCCGCCGCGGCAGAACGGGCAGGTCGGCAGCGGCTGCTGGCACGGCGTCGCCGCCGCCGCGCTGGGCTTCGCGTGGCAGCACAGCGCCAGCGTGCACGCCGCGCACATCTGGTGCCCACACTCCCGCACCTCGATCGTGCACGCCTGCTCGAAGCAGATGCTGCACACCTCGCCGCCGCCGGCCGCCGCCGCCTCCTGCACGACAACGAGCACACGACACGATCAGTCATGAGGATGGGCATCACAGTGCTCCGGGATGCATGTCTGAGATGCAGCACTGATCATGGCATGTGCCCTGAGGTACATCGTTTTGATTGCATATACGAGATTGAATAATGATCTCCAGGCATATGGATCGGCGCAGTTGCTCAGACGTGCACCGAGGACTTGTGGCTTTCGTGCAAGTGACCGTCTACAGATAGGAGTACATGCCGCTGCCCGTGGTTTGACAAACATGTGCCTAACTTGGCGTTACCAATGAGTACAATATTATAGACTAGTACAGTACACCAGCAACCATTAGCAGTAGCCATCATGCTGATGAGTACTTAAGAACCATTTGAAAATAAAAATTAGCATCTCCAAGGGCATCATTCGTTTCTCTCTCTCTCGGATCAAGATAAGTGTGACCCGATGTGTGAGACTTGATAATGCAGTCTAGTAGATGAAACCGATGTTACGATGCATTCTGGGATAATGGCTACGAGATCAGTACCGGTGCAAGTGTGCAGTTGCTATTGTCAACTCGAGTTGTTTCCATGGTCATTGTCCAAGATGTGACGAGAAGGCAGTAAAGGAGTAGTACTACTTGTAAAATTTGCACAATTCGGTACTACCTCAGAGATGGCGGCGTCGTGCGCGCCGTCGTCTGAACGCGACGGCGATGGCAACGCCAACGGCGACGCGCTCCTGGCCCCTTTCAGGGTCCTCTTCTCCCTCTCCCGGTTGGCCTCCATGAGCGCCGCCTCCAGGAGGGCTTTGGCGTCCGGCTCGAGCTCGCTGATGAACTTGAGCGGGGACGGCCACACCAGGGGCTCCGCCGACGACGGGTTCAGCAGCGCGGCGCACGCGACGTGCCCTCGCTTCATCGCCACCTCGTACGGAATCCTCCTGCACACAGAGAGAGAGAGCGCAAATTCGTCGTCACCGCCATGAAGAGAGAGAAAGACACGAGCTGGCATTTTCGAGTTCTTCAACTGATGAATTGGACAGGGTGAGCTGAGCTCTGCGATTGCAACTCACCCGACGGAGTCTCGCTGGAGGCGGTCGGCGCCCCAGGAGAGGAGCTGGCGGACGCAGTCGAGGCTGCCGCCGCGCGCGGCCAAATGCAGCGGCGTGCTCCCGGGGAATCTGCAAGAACAACGGGCGGGCGCGCGCGCGCGCGTCAAATGTCACGGCTTTCCTAAAAAGGCGCGAATTTTCGCTTGGAAGAAGCGCGGGGTTTTGACTTTTTGACTTGGGGGGGAGGAGGAGCTTTACCCAAAGGCGCTACTGGAGGCTGACACGATGGCGCCGTTCTCGAGCAGGACGTGGACGCAGCGCCGCCAGCCCTGCCTCGCCGCGAGGTGCAGCGGCGTCGCTCCGGTGTCGTCCCTCACGTTCACGAACCGCGCGAAACCCCTGCAACTCCACACAGCTGAGAACACATGAGCAATGCCGCCCAGCGCGCGGGCGGCTGCTAGCTACAGGAGGCGCAGCGGAAATGGCGTGGGGGCTCCGGGAACAGAAGGCCAACCAGGATTGCGACACCGGCGCCGACTGCGCCGCCGAGAGGATGGCCCGTAGGCAGTCGGCGTGGCCGTAGTACGCCGCGTAGTGCAGGCACGTCCGCCCGTGCGACGAATCGAACATCACAATCTGCGCCCGAAACAGAAGCACCGGTTAGTCGAACGCCATGAACAGCTCTCCGAGCTCCGACCACTAAACACGGACACACGGTGTTCGCTTAAGTCTCACATTGGCGCCGGCGTCGAGCAGCCGCCGCACGCACTCGGTCCTCCCGTGCATCGCCGCGAGCATCAGCGCCGTCTGCGGCGAAAAAGAGGTGCAAGATTTGAGGAGAAACTTCCCCCAGGTGGGAGTGACAGAAGCAAACAGGGCTGCGCCGCGAACCTGCTTGTGGCGGTTAACGACGTCCGGGTGCACGCAAAGATCCAACGCCATGGACACCACCTAAAACAAACACAAGCAAGAGTACAGTTAGCACGCCGCGGTCGGCGCGGCGGCGAGGAGCATGAGAAGCAAGCAAAAAAGATGGTCGGTTCTAGCTTACCTGGAGGTGGCCGTGGGCGGCGGCGATGTGGAGGGCGGAGAGGCGGTCGAAGAGCGTGGTGCGGCCGAGGAGGGAAGGGCGGGAGCGGACGGCGGCGGCGAGGCGGGCGAGGTCGCCCGACTGCGCCGCGCCGAAGAAGTCCACCTCCTCGCTGGGCCGCCCGCAGCTGGCGCCCTGCCCCATCGCCGCGCACGCCCTCTCGCCGGCCGCCCGGCGAGCTCGGCGGCGGGGCGCGGGGGGGGGGGGGATGTGTGGGTGGAGTAGACCGCGACGGCGAAAGGGGAGAGGGGGGAGCTTACGCTGGGTTGCGCTTTCGTCTGGTTTTAAAAGCTTGGTTGCCTGGTTCAGCAATTTCTTGCTGTGGATAAACTCTTTCATTGTCACCTGCTAGGATATTTGATCTTTTTCCAATAAAAATATCCTGTCATTTTCCATCCTTTTAGTAATTGGCAAAATTTTTTGCAAGTTGTTTGTTTGGTTTGTTACCATTTTCTTGCCAAGATATATGTTACAAATTAATTTGGCAATGCCGATTTTTTTTTTTGCAAACTATACACTGAAGAAAATATTCCTAGTTACCCATGAGAAATTATGCGCATACATAATTACACAGTATTGTCTTGTTTTCTTTCACCGAGAATACGGTTAAAATAATCTTCGAAAAAAAATAACGCGGTAAAAAAACTTTACTGCTACTGATGAGAAACTGACATCCTCTCGTTCAGTCGTTCTGTTTCTCGCCCCCCACCGCAAGTCATGTTCATTTGTTATCTTTCTCTCCCCCACCGCAAGTCATGTTGAGAGTGCATATTTTCCGATTGGACAACCACCCTATTCGTACCCGGAACTCCTCTGAGAGTACATTTTTCACACTTCAGCTATTTCTGAAAACTTAGTTTATAAATATTCTCTCACCCAAAAAAATAACCATCCTACCTGTGTCCAAATTCATAGTAAGAATTAGATTTTTTATGGGATGGATTGTATAGACCATAGAAAAACTACTTCTAATTTTGGACACTGGTATCAGCGTTGGCATTGTTGATGCCGAGGTGCAAAGCCATGGCGCCAAATAGGGGTGAAAACGGTCGTAATCGGTAGCATCTTTTTAGGATGACACTCGATCAGCTGGTAATTAATCATATTTATCATTTAAACTATTTAGTTTCAACATTAATACAACTCAGAAAGAAATTAGAAAAAAAAATATAAATAGCCAAAAAGGTATGGTTGAAAACAATACCCCTCATACAGAAGCGACACTCGGTAGATTGGAAATTTCCATGACTGTTTTCACCCTTAGCGTTAAAGTCCATGGCGAATGGCGCCATGCTCCTACTTAAGTGGAAGGAGAGCCCAGGCTGGCGTGGCCAAGGGTCGATGCTACCAAGGCTGTGTTTAGTTCAGCGCAAAGTTTGAATTTTGGTTGAAATTTGAGATGATGTGACTGAAAAGTTATGTGTGTATGACAGGTTGATGTGATGGAAAAGGACTGAAGTTTGGATCCAAACTTTGGATCTAAACACAGCCCAATAGCTTTGATGCCGACCACACTTCCCTCTTTCAGCAACTCGATATGACAATGAAAGCGAGCAGACGAGACCAGCTGCGCCCTGGTAAATGGCACACCCTCTGTTTCATATTATAAGTCGTTTTGACTTTGATCAAAATCAAACCACTTATGTTTGACTAAGTTTATAGATAAACCAAATTAGTTTCATTAAATCAATAAATCAATAATTGAATACATTTTCATAATATATTTGTTTTGGGTTAAAAATGTTACAACTTTTTTTTTACAAACTCGGTCAAACTTCAAACAGTTTGACTTTGACTAAATGACTCGTAACCTGAAACGGAGGGAGTAGCGATCAAACGAGACTAGTTACTTACTCCCTCCGTTCTAAAAAAAACTCAATCTGTGACCCCTCCTATCCTAGATTCGTTGTCCTAGGATCTATAGAAGGGGTCACAGGAGGGGTCCTTTGTCCAGATTTGTTGTTCTAGAAGGGGTCACAAGTTAAGTGTTTTTTTTATGGAGGGAGTAGACCACTTGTTATAGATTCTTTTTAAGTTTTGTAAAAACATTTAATTTATCCATCCAATTAAGTAATAATACATTCAATAAATCATTTTAAAGCGGGCCAAAATTACAAAGCTCGATCAAAATCTTCTATGGCTATGTTTAGATCATTTTGTAAAAATTTTCACCCTGTCACATCAAATGTTTGGATACATACATGGAGTATTAAATATAAACGAAAAAATAACTAATTACACAGATTACGTGTAAATTGCATGACGAATCTTTCAAGCCTAATTGCTCCATGATCTGACAATGTGGTGCTACAGTAAACATTTGCTAATGACGGATTAATTAGGCTAAATAAATTCGTTTCGCAGTTTACAGACGGATTCTGTAATTTGTTTTGTTATTAGTTTACGTTTAATATTTAAAATGTGCGTCCGTATGTCTGATGTGACACGCCAAAACTTTACACCCATAGATCTTGACACAGCCAATATACAGTAGGAGTATTTGTTTGGTTGATGCATCGTTTCCTATTTAGTTTGCTCTAGTTGTTTGGTTACGCGTTCCTAGGGTATCCTGATCCTCCCATTAATGTGCAGGTGGATGAAATGTTGGATACCACTATTCTAAGCTTGGTCAGGATCAGTTTGTAATCCAACCATGGTCGTGTTTTGATTCAAAATTTTTTCTTCAAACTTTCAACTTTTCCGTCACATTAAATGTTTAGACATATGCATGGAGCATTAAATATGGACAGAAGAAAAAACCAATTGCACACTTTGCATGTAAATCGCGAGACGAATCTTTTGAGCCTAATAACGCCATAATTTGACAATGTGATGCTACATTAAACATTTGCTAATGACGGATTAATTAGGTTTAATAAATTCATCTCGTAGTTTACATGTGAAATCTGTAATTTATTTTGTTATTAGTCAATGTTTAATACTTTAAATATGTGACTGTATACTTAAAAAAATTTTAGCACACGAACTAAACACAGCCCATAACCCAGTATAAAATCCTATCAGTTTTAAGATGTTGAAGTGAAACCGTCCTGTCTAATTTAGTACTAGTACTTCCTCATAATTTGATTCATTTTGGATAGAGGGTAGCTGGTACGGAATACATATTACCCGTAATGAAACCCCTAGTTCTGTATTCTGAAGTAATGGATCACACGTCCTCCAGGAGCTCTTCCTCTTCTCCGAGTACGCCACTAGCAGAGCCATACTAAACAGTATATTTACAAATAAAAAATAATTTATAAATAAAATTTTTATATATGTGTTTGATTTAAAAGTAAAAGCTGAAAAATAAACTTTGATGAAAAACCTTAAAATCAATTCTAAATATAAAGATAAAACTTTAAATTTTTACCGATAAGTATAAACATAAACGAAAAGATAATTACTCCTTCCACCTCACCCTCCCCATGTATAGCGACTAGCAAAGCCGTATTCCTCCCACAATAATCTCTTACCATTAATTCCCTAGAGAGACCAGACAAGTTAGGTAAAATCACCGGCTACACCACCACCAATCCTGCTTATAATCTCAACATTCTTCCGACCAAACACACCACCTTTAATCTTTACACGCTCACCCACTCCGTGACTTCTCCACTGTAGCATCTGTAGCACCAGGTCCCCCATGTCCATGCATCCACTCGACCGAAGCTTACCCTCGCCGAGTTTTTACTCACCCTCGCGTGGCCGCCTGCCTGCCTGCCTGCCTCGGTCGGAAGCAGGGGCGGATACAACGTGGGTGGAGGGGACTCGAGTCCCCCCTACCTCCACATATGGATACCTTCAGAGCACCCCTTTAATTTTTTCATTATGAATGATAAATTAAGGTTTCTAGACAGCTGGAGGTTGAATAAATTGTGTAATTGAGCCCCTTCAATTTTTTATTTCTGGATCCGCTCTGGTCGGAAGCAGATCAATCACACGTACTAGAGCAGTCGCGGCCCCGTGAATGCGGCGGGGGGCAGCGTTTCTCAACCGCGAATCGGTCTCGTGCCGTTGCGTTGCCGCTTTCACCGATGGGGGCACACCCTCGCGTTGCAACGCATCTCGTTGCCGCTTTCACCGATGGGTACCTTCGCGGATGCGATGCGAGTGTGTGCAACGCGAACGTTCTACCTGCAGATAGTGATTCTTTACCACACGCGCCGCGGCGATATATATGTAGGAGAAGGATATATACTACTATTTTTCCTTCCCGTTCTGGTGCCAAAAGAGAAAGACCCTCCGGCAAATCCGTCGGTGCGACCGTGTACATACGCGCGGCGCGAGGGTAGGCATCGAATCTTGCAGGCTCGATTGGCTGTGTTTGGGTTGGTCACGACACGATCGATCTGGTAGAACGTACTGTACGTAGATACGGAGTCTAGGGTAGCGGCAGCACGGGCTTTTGGTTAAGCGCGAAGAGATTTCGCGAATTATTACGTGTGTGGTCCTGTTGCAAGGAGCTACTACTACTATCACTATGCTTGCATGCTGAGACAAGCATTGTTCCTAACGGACCCACCTAGAGGCTAGAGTAGAAGCTGCTAGCTAGCGCACGGCGGAACGTACTGACCGGGAGGGAACGTAAAGGTGGGGAACCTGTTTATGTGAAGATTTGCGGTGCCCTTTATGGTCCAACAAGTAGTTGCAAGTTGGGTGTGATACGATATGAGACTTGGTGACCTGGTACTCCTACCGTCCTAGTACGTGGAGCATCTCTCTTGCTGTGATATGAGCAAAGGCGAGCTGATCAGTGGTGCAACAAGAGGTCACGGCATTACTCTGTCTCAGTCGAGAAACTGAAGCTACTCCGCCGTGAACTCATTTTACTCGTCACACGATCCACCAAGCAAAACTCGGAGCCCGTACTGGCGCGTCGCGCACCGCGCGCGCTAAACTTCACGTGCGATGCGACACCTACATGTACACGGAACGTGACGCACCCTGCAACAATCGCGCTCGCGCGTCGGTGGCTGCGTGCGCTGCGACCGACGCGCGCGCGGGTGACTGGGCGACTGGCTACCACCACCGAGAGGCCGTGCCTGCACGGTGCGGTGAGATAATAGAAGAGTAATACTCACGTATTAGTGTCCTTCTAATAATAAATTAACGTGCAATTTTTTTACGCGTCCGTAAAAAAAACATATCAGTGACTATAATCTTAGTAATAATATTGTTCTACAGGAAGTATCAATGTTCCGGTCCGTGCGGTGCCGGTGGGTGTTATAACAATATTGTTATCCCATGCACTGACGTGTACTAATTTGTTTAAGAAAATCTAATCTTAAAGATGTATTTGGACATAATATGTTCAGATACATTTGTAGGATTGTATTTTTTTTAATGGTGAGGGTAAGATAATAAGAGGGTAAGATTCACATGTTAGGGGCTGCAATCTTTGTAACATTATTGTTCTGCCGCAAGCATCAGCGCTCCGGGCGTTGCGTGAGTGCCAACGCGTCGTATCCCTCTAGCTAGGCTCTAGTGAGCGCTGTCCCGGGCAACAGATCTCAGCGGGCCGGGCTTCCAATTGGTTGTTGTTTAGACATCTTTTACGTGCTACTCATTGCTACGGTCTACGGCAATCGTGTAGTCACTTCAATTCGGATACGTACGCACTGGGGCACAGGATTGTGTAGCGGTACAAGTACGCTAGTAGTATATGTATAGGTTACAGTACTAATGTTTCACCAAAAACGGCGTCCAATTGACCCTCAGACTGTTTCCCTTTCACCACAGATTTTTTCTTCCTTTTTTCTTGTGGTGAAACCATTACAGTAGAGTAGATTTAAATTTTGTGTTACACAGCCAATTTTCGCAGTGGCAGGACAAATGGAACGAGCGTGACATGCTACGTGAGAGGGGGTAAAAACTATACAAAGGATGAGATGACGACAGAGTTTAAAAGGCCACTCCACTCCCAGTCCCACAGCCCATGGCAGAAACACATGAATGGCCACGCAAATATTCGGACACGCCTATAAGGCTATAACCCGCATGTGTACCGTGTACAGTCTCCTTTTCGTCGCGACCAACTGACCAAGCTAGGGACCGTGCACGTGCCATGCGTGGTTAGCCGGCCGGCCGGCCAGCTCCCCTTCTTTGTTGCGACGCACTCGGATTCGTGTGGCTTTCATAGCAAAGCCACGAAAGACTGGACGAGAGAAAAGTGAATTACTACTACTGTGTGTCCAATGATCAAATATGTACTAAATCGTGACAACACAGTAAGCCAGTAACAGTAGTGAGTAAGAGGCTAAGAGCTGAGTGACAACACAGTGACAATACGTACGTGTTGGGCTGTTTCTTTCGTCCGGTTTGACCACCTCGGGCAGCCACGCCTATTCGCCTTCACGATATAGGATCATTTGTTGGAGGCCCCATACGTACCTTCGTGGATCCAATCCATGACTCGGGCTGCGGGGATTCACTTGAAAACTTTTTTTTCTTTTGAAAACTTCACTTGAAAACTTGGTCAACTTCAGATTTTAACAAAGTTTCAACATTTTATAAATCCAACGCAAATAAATTTTTGGAGTTCATCACCCCTCTAGTGTTTGGATTCGATATCCTTCATTCGTCAACCTTCTTCTTCCTCCTCGAGCTCGTTTTTCTTTTCTCCTCAGGCAACCAGACATTACCGGTCCTCAGCTGAGGGTTTAATTATCACGCGATGCGAGAACAGGAAATAGGAAGAGAATGATGCTGCTTTTAGTTGACGTGTGTGGCTTTCTGTTTTTGTTTTCTCTTGGTATAAACGGGGTATTAACTCGTACTGATATACTTCCTCCGTTTCGAAATGTTTGACGCCGTTGACTTTTTATTACATGTTTGACCGTTTGTCTTATTCAAAAAAAATTAAGTAATTATTAATTCCTTTCCTATCATTTGATTCATTGTTAAATATATTTTTATGTAGGCATATAATTTTACATATCTCACAAAAGTTTTTGAATAAGACGAACGGTCAAACATGTGCTAAAAAGTCAACGGTGTCAAACATTTCGAAACGGAGGGAGTATATATGTATCATCCTGTTATACCACCCGATAACAGCTTATACTGACAAGTATCGAATATGATATCCACCTATATTATCATTCGTGGTACAGAAGCACTCAATTTGATGCAATATTTTCTTCTCCATATTCAGCCTACAAAAAGATCCTCAGTAGCAATAGAAGTAGGAAAAAAAAAAGTTAAGAACGTACATTTTCATTTTATAAATTTGCATTGATATACATTACCATAGGAAAATTGTGATAAATATACTCGTTCCGCGCGCGCGAAAATACAAGTAGGTGACACGTGTGGTGCGAAGCTGCAGGACGGATAACTGGGACTGTCCCGCATCCAAAAACGCGACCTAGAAATGTGGCAACCCACTGGCCATCGGTATCGACACGGTCCCACGACTCAAGCGTGCAAGAGGCGCGATCCTGTGGCCTTGTTCCCGCAAACCCGACTCGGTGCCACGCGCCCGAGTCACAGGACGTGCCGCTCTACCGACACATAGGACCGCCCCAACAATCGGTCTCACATCTCCGCACCATGTTGTGTGAGCTGCTCCGCATCCCGTGTCATGATAAGTGTTTATTTTCATAAATTCTCTGAATGTATGTATATAACGTAAATTCTTAAAAAAAATTGTGCATTCCTAAATTGTTTTCACTAGAAATTATACAAATAGTCCGCCGCTAGTTTGTTACCCGCTTGCGACTTTTCTGACACCATATGTGCCCGCTGCTTCAACTGTTACCACACACGCATAACACCATTCTACTTTGGCCACTGCTGCATGTTCGACGAAATGCCCACGCGAGTACGCCACTAAGATTCGCCCCGCATCTACGTCGATTCCCCGGTTCCCCCTCGCTTCCCGTCGAGGAATCCGGCGAGATCGAGGCGCCCCGCGCTAATCCGGCGATCCTCGCCGTCCCGCCCCGGCTGGATCTCCGTGCTGGGTGGGGGGCGGCCGCGGCCTTGATGGTACTTCGGATCCGGAGGACGAGGAGGCGGCGGCGATGAGCAGGCTGGCGTCGGCGTCGGGGCTCCACCGGCTGCGGCGGTCGCCATGGGAGGTGCTGTGGTCGGGGCTGGCCTCCTGCGGCCTCACGCTCCTCTCGCAGCTCGCCGTGGCCATGGTGCCCCGCCTCTTCCCTTCCCTCTCCCTCCTCGCCATGCTCCCCGTCGCAGGTTCGTGCCCGCTTGCTTCCTTTTGCTCCCCCACCCCCACGCGTCTGATTATGTGCGAATTTTGATGTGGTTTGGTTGCGTGGTGCGCAGGCGTGGTGTTCCTGGCCGTCATCGTGGTGGGCAGGTTCTGGAGGAGGTTCATCGGAGTGGCGGCATCGGCGCCGCTGTTCGTACTGTTCAACATCCTCTTCTTGTGGGGCGTCTACGTGTTTGTCATCCGGGGAGGTGAGGTTATGGAGCATTGCATCAGTTGGACTCCGTAGGATGGGCAGCATTCGCGATCTCTAGTGTTAGAACTTGCATAGTAGTTTGCCGTTGTGATATGGCATTGTTCTGAGTAGAAGGAAAGCATTATTGACAATGCAATGCACTGGATAATGTCTATTGGTATACGCATATGGCATTTTTGTGGTGTCGCGTCGATTTGGGTGAAGTTAATCACCTTTCCTGGTGAGTTGCACTGCACAGCTTAGCTAAATACATGTCACTTCAGTACGATTTAGGGCTCAATGCAGTGTTCATAGGTTGCCATAAATGGGTCTAGGTATGTAGCTTGTTAACCTTTGATATTTGGAAATTTATTGCATTTATGATGTCACCTGGTAGTAGTATATAGGTGATGAGTGTATCTAGTTTCTGTAATGTTTCTATAATTGGTTGTTTGCTTTGCAGGCACTTCTTCCCTGTTAGATATGGTAATTAATGCTGAATGTGCAATGCTTTTGTTTGGACTTTACAGGTTAGCTCTTCTGAATGTTCTTTCACAATGCACTTAGCTAAGTCTAAGATACATTAGTCCATTTACATTATTGCTGTGCAATTCATAAGCTTAAGTTTACTGATATTAGCGAATTATTACCTTGAGGATGGAGGGTTTAGTTCTGTTTCCCGACTGCAGGATATTTTCTGGTGATCCTGGCATTGTGATCTATGAATCTTCATTTTTCGAAGAAGCTGGCTGTAAGGATTTTGTGGAAGCTATATGCCCGAGTGAGGTGCTGAGGAATTAGATATTTAAATGGTTCTCTTATTTTTAGTTACTAATAATACGAGACGTTGAGTTGTTGCATTAACATGTTGACATGTATTCCTCTTTTTTGCTATAGAAATTTTCATCACTTCCAAGGGTAAGGCACTGTAACTGCTGCAAAGCAAATGTTAGAGGTTATGATCACCATTGTCCTGCATTTGGTAACTGCATAGGTATAATGTCCCATTCTTTTGTGTGGAGTTTTCTTTATCATATGTTATAAGCACATATTCTGAATTGCAGTGTGTATTCTGCAGGACAGAAAAATCATCGGCTGTTTATGGCCCTTTTGACAGGCTTTGTTGTCGCTGAATCGACATATACAATGTGTTCAACTAAATGTATGTATCTTAACCTCCTTGCTCTGTAAAAATGAGTTATCAGTTTTCTTGAGTTAGCAATCTGCATTGCTTTAATAACCATAACAATATTCTATCGTTCAACTAACGATAGCGAACGTGTAACAGTTATTTATGGATTTTTCACATGTCATTTAGCAAAATAGCATTTCAGAGCCATGGATTTCTACATTAAAGCTTCTTTTTCACTCTGCTTTACAGATATCACTAGATGCATAAATTCTGGAACTATAAGATCGGAGGTATCATCTGGCATCATCTTACTTTGCATATGCTGCATACATGGCTTGCCAAGTGATATAAAAACTACATTATCAAGGCAACTATGTAATTGTGGTTTTTGCACATGCTATTGAACTCATCTCGACAAATAATTGTTCTTTTAGGTGCTATGTCTTTAGGAGTGTCCACTGAGTACCTTTGAATAGTTCTATACCATGAGCTGAACAAAAAGATATTTTACTTCTAACCTTGTACTACCATTGCACTATTTTTGAGGCAGTTTGTAGTGTGGATAGGAGATGGCATCGAACTTGCAAGCCTCATTGTCAAACTTTAGGATAGTAAATTTTAGCATCTTTATGGTATTTAGGCACAACAGGTGCATTTGTGTTAAGTGGTATTTTCTTTTTGTACGGTAGATTCATAGTAGCCAGGCATTTTTTTTTCCTCACGATTTTAGATGCATTAGAATTAACATGAGTGACCATCCATGTGTAAATCCTTTAGGCTGTGTGATCTATTCATGATCTTATCATTCATTAAAAAAACACAGAGTCCCTCTTTGATTTGTCCATAAAATAACATCAAAATTTCTGATCAAATGTTAATGTGTTATAATGACTGATACTGAGGGTACTTTGTTTACTTCACAGAATCCTATGTCTGTTAACATGGTAATCGGCACAATGCTCTTCTCTGTTCTCCAAGTGCTCTGGCAGGTTTGTCCTAATCACTAACAACTGATGATGGATTTTACTGCTAAGAGATTACCTCTGCACAATTGCACATGCAGAAGGGAAAGATATTGTTTTGAGAAAAAAAAAATCCCATGCTCCAGAACTGTTGGCTTGGAATTAATTGCTAACGAGGTAAATCTACCAGAATACAGTAGATGTCTTGTTTCACAGGATATTCTGAAAAGATGTAAAACTGAACTCATGATAATGAAGGAATGGTGTGTTTAAATAATGCTCAATGCCATCGGATCGCAGCTGGTGATGATAAACTATCCAATCAGTAGTCGACCAGTATTCGCTGGGATAGATCCAAGATATATAACTGTTTAGAAGATAAAATGTGTACATAAGGAAAAATGTCAAGTTGCATACAAAACAAATTGTTCCTACAATCCCACTGAAACTAACGTCACAAAATAATAAAATGAAGACAAAGCGCAAGGTACCTGGGGATTTGGAACAAAGTTACATCAGTATATCATTGTTGTCAACTTGTGAAAAACAAAGTTGAAGAAATGCAACCAAGCAACCATTCAAATATTTATTTATTTATTTTATTTTTTTGAGAAAGACCATACGGCCCAGCCTATATCGAAGGCCAAAACGGCAACATATCTGGGGGTTGCCCAGTTTACAAGAGTGCAAATAACAGGAAACCTGGCTAAAGTTGCCCAAACAGACCAACATCAACACCTCAAAAGGACTGACCAACATAGAGAGAGAAGCTAAGGACCAGAAACTCTAAACACACAACCTGAAGCAGACTAAATTGCTAACCATTCGAATATTGATCTAGTCTATTTTGTTAGTCTGTTCTTAACAAAGTTCAATCCAAAAGTGCTCACACTTGTGGTTACTATGGGAAGTATCAACACCAACTTGAGAACCCCACATGTTTATGTCGATGTTTCTTATTAACTTCAACAAATATTGTAGACATCCCACATGGTTCTTCATTGCCCATATTTTAATAAACGATTGTGGGCTGATTGGTGACCGTTGAACATAAGTACATCACCACTATATCCTGGTTATTTTCATGTTTTACAGGGCGCCAATCTGGGTTGGTATTCCATGTGCTAGTTTGGTCTGTCATTCCTTTGACTAATTTGCTAAGATAGAGTATTCATGGATATCATCGAAGACTGGCTGCATTTGTATTTATAATGGACGTTCTAACTAAACTTTTTACTACCTATTTTCTAATCATGCCACAACTAATTTGGTTGCTTCCTTGCTAGGCTGTGTTCTTGATATGGCACATATATTGCATCTGCTTCAACATCAAGACAGATGAGTGGGTAATGTCAAACTTCCCATGCTTTGGACTCTTCCTTCATCAATTGCAGGCCATCTTCTCGTTTGCTGTTTCTTATAGCTAAGAGGTGAGATTTTCCAGATAAACTGGAAGAAATACCCTGAATTCCAGATGAAGGAACAGCCTCAATCAGGTGCCTTTTCATGTACATCCTGTGGTTTAGTGCACATTTCCTCCAGTGGTATATTGACCTGATTCGCCTCCGTGCAGATTCTGGAGTAAAGTTTGTGAATCCATATGACAAAGGCGTGCTCTGTAACATTATAGAATTTCTGAAGCCGAAATAACACGAGCTGATCCTAAGTACAGACGTTAAAAACATGGGAAATCATTGCATCAAGTGATCTGGAATTCTGAAAGATTGTTTTGCTTCTTACAGCCAAATTGATGGGAATTTGTTGTGAGCATCATTTGGCCACTAGTAGCTAGTTAGATCAACACGCAATTGACACTCTCTGAAAACTTCCTTGTTGAGCGGGAACTGTATTGCAATGGATGCTGCATCGGACGTGATTTGGGCGTTCCACCCAAGTACATACATCTTGTAACTCTAGAAAATGATTCATTGTGTGGATTGAAGGAATACACATCGTATTCCTGCAAGCAATATTTTGATGCTTTGAGGTGCCAGTATATTTTCTGACCATGTCGTTCTGTCGTGCTGAAATCTTGAGGTAGGATCCAGCAATTAGGCAAAGATGGGCTGGCTGAGTCTGCAGATCAGGATGGAGGTTTACTTGGTCCAAGTGTTCTGCTGTCATCTTCTCAGCCGCCACTAGAAATTATCGTAAGAAAAGGATGTTCCAAGGCGTGGAATGGCCAAAGCCCAAATTGACAGCGACGTGCTGCTTATCTTACCGGGTCAGGTTGTCGCCGTCAAGAAGAGTGGGCATGCTTTGCCGTGTCAGGAAAGCGCGCACTCAGTTTTCCCAGTAAACCCAAAACCCTCAGCTTTAGTAGCCAGCTTTTATTAGTACGTGAATCATTGACACATTCTTTACCCATTACTCATCATACTTTATACTCGTACAGCTCCTTTAACGAATGGGATTAAAAGGTGTTACACTAATCACTATGGATGTTATGGTGTACTATTACATTCTCTCCATTGATCCCAATCATTTTGTCGCAGATGTGCCATTGGAAAAGAATGGCCAAGTGAGGCGCACTTGGAATGTGAGAACTTTCCTGATTATGCAGAAATACTTTCCTGATTCATGCGGAAATTGGAATTCAAGGAGGCCCATTTGGAATGTGAGAGCTTTCCTGATTATGCGGAAATTCTTTCCTGATTCAAGGCAGAAATCGGAATTCAAGGCAGGTGTCATGCAGAAATCGGAATTCAAGGCAGGTGAATACTCGCTTATCGCTTAGGCAGGTGGATACTCGCTAATCACAGTTGGGAAAACAAGGTTCCAGGTTTCCCTTTATTCTTTTCACAATCCTGATTGTTAGTATCTGACATCAATTATGGGAATATAAGAGATTCCCATATGGCCATCCTGATCTTCGTAGACATGAAAAACGAGTAGGCACGTCTTGTATGCTTTTAGCCAATTGTTGAATTATAATTGAAAAACCACCCAGGAATTTGAGAAATTTCCACAACCATCACTCATAAATATCTGAAGTGTCATGTAGGAAATTTGGAATTTGAATTTCACCAAGTTAATTTAACGAAACTTTCTATGTCGGGGGACAACTAAAACATGATAAGGTCCTAACAAGAACAGATTCCATAACTTACACCGGCCGCAAGGTAAAACAATTCACTGAATCCTGTCCTAATCATGTCATAGCTTTATTTCGAAGGCTGTGTTTAGTTGGATCTAAAGTTTGGATTTTGGTTGAAATTGTAGATGATGTGACTGAAAAGTTGTATGTATGACAGGTTGATGTGATGAAAAAGGACTGAAGTTTGGATCCAAACTTTGGATCCAAACACAGCCGAAGTCAATTTCCGAAACCATATCATGTCAACAAAAAGATATAATTGATTAAGCCACCAAACATGATACCCTTGATACCAACAACCAATTAACCTTTCCAACAAACAAAGGCGATCTAGATCTGCAAATTCGGAGCATTAGCAGGTAAGATTATAAGATGTGACATGCTGTACCACTGTCAGTTATACCAATAACAACAACAGTGAGAAAGAACAAGAACATAAGATTATGTAATCAACTATAGCCACCCTTAGATGCCGCAATTGGTTCCAAACAAATAGAATTACATATAAGAGACCAAAAGGTTTGATCCAGAGGCAGGGGAACAACAACTGATACTGGACAACCCCAAGGCTATGAGATCACGATACAGAACAAAATTCACAGCAACTGTAAGGATGAACAAAGAATAACTCAGTAAGTGGGGTAGTAGTACCCAGTATTTGCAGTGTAAGCCATTGGCATGGGGTTCGTGTTATATGCTGCAGGCATCCCATAAGGCATGGCTGGGTTGGGGGCGAAGCCATTGTTGTAAGCCCGATCGAGCTTGGCCAAGCTTGACTGGCCCTGCATGCCATCCCTCTGGTACTGCTGCCACATCATCTGTTCCTGAGTCAAGAACTGCTGCTTCTTCTCCATCTCTGCCATCTGAACATAGGACGGTGGTGGGAAGCTAAGGGACGCCGCAAACGGGTCTCCACCAACATTCTGCATTGAACCATCTGGTGCTGGCAGAGCCAGCACTTGTGTTTTCTGTCCAGCCGGAGGTAGAGCAACGCTGCTGGCACTCCCAGTTGTCACTTGTGCATTGACATGCTGGCGCACGGCACCCTGATCATACATACCATTCAGTAGCAATGGATCCATACCACCTGTCATTGTGGCCTTCTGCTTGGACAGATTGCTCGCTGTCTCCACAAGGGCAAGTTCCCAGTCAGCCTTCCCAGGCTCAGCTGCAGGATTCTGCCATGCAGAAGTCACCTCATTGCCACCATTTGAGGGGAAGGCCTCCCATGAGCCATTGCTTCCACCAGCTGCAGGTGGCCCTTGGAAGAGGGCCAGAGCAAGCCGGTTACCTTGCTCATCTGCAGTCACAGTTTCTTCTCTAAGATCCACTAAATCACCCTGGGGTTGCGGTGGGGGCTCTGGCTTTACTTCCTCCTCCACCTTCTCAGGTTCAGGCTCCTTGTAGTCTTCTGGTGCTGGCAGTGCCTTGATTTCATTCATATCTGGCTCAGGCTCTTCCTCCTTTACAGGTTCAGGCTCAGGCTCCCGAGGTGGGCTCTTGGGCCGCTTTGCTCGGTCCCTCATAAATTCCTCCAATGTCTCCAGCAACTTATCGGTAACACGCTGCACCTCTGGGTACTCTGATGACCTAGCGACCCCAGTTTCCTTACACCAGCCATAGAATGCACAAAGCTCGTCAATCTGCTTTGCGGCGCTGGCATATGCCTCAAATGCCTTCACGCACTCGGCATACTCCATGTCAAAGAACCTATCCAGCAGCACTGCGAGCACCTCACATATATCAGCATAGAGCTGGAAGCTCTCTCTCACAATCTGATACAGCGCGACCAGCACCATCCTGCTGTGCTTGGCACCACCTGTGGGGCGGCAAGCAAGGAACCTGTCGAGCAGCTGTTGCAGGTGGTGCATACGGGCAAGGACCCGTTCTGGCTTCATGTCTCTCACTGGGGTCGGCGGCTTCTTGTCATCAGTGTTGTTGTTGCCGTTCCTCTCACGGTAATCATCATAACCACCATATCCATACCCATTTCCGTTTCCAGGGGGTGAGGAGTATGAGGGTGACCGGCGACCATATGGGTCAGGTGATCCCCAGCGGTCACGCGGTGACGGGCCATTTGCACTGGAACTGGCGTTGGAGCCGGAGCCTTGCTTGCGCTCATGGAGGAAGAACTCAAGGCGCTGGTCGAGGTACAGCGCATAGGTACGGACGAAGGCAGAGTGGTCCCATGAACCGGAGTGAGCCTCGTCGCGGAAGTCGGAGAGGTTGAGGAGGCGAGTGCCCCTGCGCGTGGCGTGCAGGAGCTCGCGGTGGAAGGAAGGGTCGCCGTCGGCGAGAAGGCGGTGCACGAGCATGAGCGACTTGAGCGCGACGACGTAGTCGCGGGTGCGGGACAGCCTCCGGGAGCATCCCGCGACGGCGGCGGCGACGTGGGCGCGGGAGCCGGAGGTGAGGTGGAGGATCTCGCGGATGTGTCGCTCCTCGGCCGGCTCGTCGTCGTGGCTGGTAGCCTTGACGATGAGCACGTCGAGCTCCGGCGCGATGTTGCTGGTGACCTTGGCCAGACCGATGCTGGTCTGGTCCTTCACCGCCCCCAGCGCCTTCCGGATCGTGCTCGACGACATCTCGCCGTCGCCCGCGCCTCCTCCTCCTCCTCCTCCTCCTCCTCCTCCTCACCAACAAACCACCAACAACCGCGGCCGCAGCAGCAGCAGCCGCCGCCTCTTGCTCGGTTTAGATCTGAACAGAACAAACACCCACATGAGAATCGGAGATAACTTCGCCCTGTTTGTTGTCTGTTCTCGCGCAAACAGGGCAAAACCAGCGCGGGATTTGCTCAAAACCAAACGCGGATCCCTGAAATTCCGCAACCTTCTATCCTCAAAACCCATCGGAGTACCTACCGAGCATGAGATCCGCGGAGTCGGGAGGCGAGATCTCACCCGCGGAATCCACCCAACACCGATGAAATGAATAGCTAGATAGAGATATTAATTAATACTACTAGTCGACTCTTAGCTTATCATCAGCATCTATAGCAGCAGCAAACCGTAGCTAAGCCGAAGCTACTCTCTCCCAGCCAAAGCGGCAGCCGGCGCCCTCCGGCTTCATCGTGAAAAAGGCACGGATCTAGCGAGCGAGATCGATCCAAGCGAAAGATTTACCTTTGCGGTAGATCCGGGAGCTCGAGATCCGGGCGGTGGCGCGCGAGCACACGCCCTCCCCTCCCCTCTCTCTCTCTCTCTCTCTCTCTCTCAGCTCTGTCTCCGGCCTCTTGGGGTGGGAGACCGGGAGCTCTGGGGCTCGTCTGAAACTGCGGTCCGCGGAGGAGGCGAGGGAGACGAGGGAGGAAGAAGCGAGGCAGGCGGCGTGTGTGGTGGTGGCGCGTTTTTGTGTTGGGGGGCGTTTGGTGCCTTGCTGTTTTCAGATTTTTATATTTTGCGCGAGGGGAAGGGAAGGAAAGCGAGCTTCGCGTGGCTTCCTTCCGCGCGCGCGCACCGACGCGCCCCCTCGGCCGTCCGGGTTTTCCCAAAAATATTTTCCACTGCGAAAGGAAAGTGGGGTGGCATGCCGTCGCGCGGGGGGAAGCCAAGGCCAAGCCGCGGTTGACCGCTGCGCCGCCGGCTGTGTTGTGCGCACACGCAAAGCGGCGGGCGGGTGGGCGGGGGCGTTGCACCGTGCAGCTCCCGGGTGTTTGGGGGGGGGGGGGGGGGGGGGTTTGGGGGCTGCGCGGATGTGAGGCCGGGACGGGAGGGGTCGGCGCGCCGTTGACATCGGCGTGTGCGGGTGCGGCGGAAGCTGGCGGGTTGGTCGGTCTGGCTGACCCGTCACGCCAAAGGTGACAGTGTGACACACACCCCTGCGCTGCGTTGGGGGGGCCTGTGGTTACTTCTGGGCAGACCGCATAGGCTAACACGATGGTCGTCGGAGATAGCTAAAGCAGTTGATGGTTAATACTATACGGAGACTATTCAACTCTGTTATGCACGATGAAAGAAACTGTCATAATGATTATCAGTTCAAATATAGGCTTTGCTAACGATCCAATGAGAGTTGCAAGGACTTTGGTATTTTTATTTTAGTAGTATATATTAAAAATGAACTTTTCAGCATTTGATTCCTTACTAACATACAATTGAAAATTATCCTATAAAATCGAAGTAAGAGGTTGCTAATTAGTTTAGATTAATCCTTAACGGTCGAGTAAAAAAAACATAAAGAATATTGTAACAAATGGACATTATAACATTTTCATTACTTCTTCAAAAAGTGTTTCTTTTTTATGTAAAAATTTTCTTTCCTTGTAATTGGACATAATGCATAAGAAGGGTTTAAGCTGCTCAGTAATTAGTATCATGTGCTTGTCAGGTTCGTACATAGATCCTCCATTTTATATTTGTAATTGAAAGACTCCTTTGTTGCTAAATACTCCTCAATTGCAGGTAATAATTGCATCACTGGTACATCTACAAATAAAAAATTTAGTTAGCAATTATTTGAATGCCCATATTGTATATTATATATCGACAAAAAGAAAAACGTTGGGAAAACCCCTCTTGATAGGTTGCGGTGCTCTATCTAAATCAAGCTAGTTAATTGCTAAACTGCTTAATTATTGTAATCACCTCCACAACACCACTGATACATCTTGCTAGATTAGATCTTTTATCTTTCAAGGGGATTAATATACAATCTGGTACTAGCTTTTATTTGTGGGGGGAGAAAAGGGCATTAATCACAATCTGCTAGTTTATTTTTTTTTGGGGGGTTGTCTGGTAGTTATACCACGCAATGATGTAATCGAAAGAAATAGATGCTCTGTTCAGTCACTAAAACCAATCTTTTGGATTTACCTCTAGTCGAGTGACTTAATTTTTAAGCTCGAATATGTTCTATTATTCATGTTGGATAATTCAAATTGTACTAGTAATTTATTTTATAAACTATACTTCTACCATCTACTCCTCCATCCTATAATATAGCAACTTATTACGGGATGTGATATTTTACAGTGCAACGAATCTGGACAGGAGGATGTATAGATTCATTATATTATAAAATGTTACAGCAGTTACTAGGTTGCTATATTATGGGACAGAGAGAGTAATAGTTTTGTTTCATTTTGCGTATTACTAATATACCATGATGATAAATCTATATATTGGGTACAACAAAGTCCAAAACAACCTTTTTTTCCTCATACTGTACCTTATCCACATTTTTTTTCTCTCAAATTGCAATCAGACCACAGTCCACATGTGCACATGATACTATATACATTTCCCTCATTTTGTTTACAAACTAGAATTGTTGTTTGGGTCGTTGCACATGAAAACAATCATAGATTTCACAAAAGCTCTATAGGCCTAATTTCACAGCCCCTACCAGTATTCACGACACACTGGTCCCTTTCCATTTATGCCTCGATTTATTTGGCAGGTGGCCGGTGCTATAGACAAATGCTTGGTAGTGTATAACACGGTTGGCTTTGGCTTGTGAAGTGTCAAATACCAGGACGGCCGGCCCTTGCATGCGTTTCTCCGCTGTACCTAGCCTGCAAAGGTGGACTAGTGCTCGTGGTGGATGGAAGTAGTACTCGTACAGTCGTACTTGGCTGGCATTTGGGTGGCGAAACAACTGAACCCATCCGATCGATCTGTAAACCCGAGAGAAAGAGGAGTGGACAGTGTGTCTCCAGCGAGCACGCAGTGACACCGTTTTTACATGGTCCAAGTCTGTGCTAAGCCATCCACTGTTTTTCCTTATCTGTTTGATTAATGATTCACCCGTTGACACCGTTGTCGACGCGTACGACAGCAATTTGTCCCCATTCTCCTCCTGAGTCCCGAATACACGGGATAAGGTTGATATTCCATTACCAGTCTAAAAAAAAGGTTGATATTCCATTTGGAGAACTGCCGGGTGAAAATAGATTTTGTTTACGGTTTTTGATTAGATAACGGCCTATTAGGAACATCATGGTACAAATTATTAGTGCTGTAATTAGGTGAACTCGTAAAATCATTCTTTTTTTTCAAGCGCTAGATAAGTTGCCTTCCCATTGAAAATGAGTTCTGTAGTGACCGTCGACTTGTAAAAATGCATTTCATTCATGCCTACGCATGGTACTCGTTCCAAATCCATAAACTATCCAGATCCCTTCCTTTTTTCAGTTTTGTCCCTTGTTCATGCTGACCTGCATCTTTGGGTGGGGACAGATTGAGCACTTCAGCTAAAGGTTAGGCATCGTGTTCTTGATGAACCAGTGAAGCTAGTGGGCAAAAAAGCCATCGCCTATCTCCCTGAATCACTGAGAGGCTGAGAGCTACGGAATGGCATATCTTAGTCACCAAGTAAAACGTCCACACTGGTAAGCTTCATGTATGATTAAGAAAGGATACCTCCACTGAGCTATGAGATGGGCGATGGCTTTTTTGTCCTCCAAGTGAATGTACCTCTATTTTGGCTGTTGATCACTTGTACGGTCATCAAACTTCACGTCTTATTCTGCCAAATCCTTGAACAGGTCCATGCAACATTGATTTGAGTTGGTGTTAGAACTAGTTGAGGGAGGGAGCCCGGCCAGTAATATGCATAGGTATGGGGGATTAGGGCCGGTCCTATGATTTTGAGGGCCCTAGGTGAACTTATCGTGATGGGCCCTCTAAACTATATAAAAAATTTTGTGATATATATAGACGCTAATTTTACTTGCAAAACAAAAATAAATATATCCATATATTAAATTTAATATGTCTGGTAATTATTGAGAAATAAAGTCGACTAAAATAATACCTTAGAACTAATATCATTACCTTAGTGAAAAATAGAACCCCATCATATTCATTGCTTCTTATGAAAAGATACTTCTTTGGATATTTCTTGATGCAAAATCATCAAGAACGGTATTAAGATCAATAGTGTCCAAGATATCATTCTCGATAGAGCACATAACCAAGCCATTTAACCTTTCTTGCGACATAGTTGATCTCAAATAGTTCTTCAACAACCTCAATTTTGATAAACTTCTTTCAGCTGAAGCTACCGTCATAGGTACAGTTAAGAGAATTCGATAGGCAACTGAAACATTTGGATAGCAATCTGTATCCATAACAGACTTCAGAATCTCAGGCGCGGACATCGAAGATTCTGACTAAAAATCATTGATCTAAACATCGGATGAGTTCTCATGAGTAAGGGCCCCTTTGAATCACAGGGTAGAAAAAACAGAGGAATAGGAAAAACACAGGATTCTGGCAGGAATTGAAGTGTAAAACAGAGGATTGCAAAACACATGAAAAACACAGAAATGGTCGTTTGATTGGAGCGCAGGAAAAACACAGGAATTGGATGAGAAAGATAGACTCAAAGGAAATTTTCCAAGAGATTGGAGCTCTTGCTAAATTTTCTCTAAAATCCACATGCAATGTGCCATTCCATAGGAATTTCATAGGATTTGGAGAGCTTCAATCCTTTGAATCAAAGGGCCAAATAGGATAGTTTCCTATAGGATTTGAATCCTATGAAATTCCTACATGAATCCTTTGATTCAAAGGGGCCCTAAATGTTTTCGCAAAAATCTTGCAGTGCGACCAAAGATCTACTTCATCGAAGGATTTTAAATTTTTAGAGTTGGCCCCCCACCATCATGGGCCCCCGGCGGTCGCCTCGGCTGCATAGGGCCAGGGCCGGCCCTGTGGGGGATTAGGCAAACCCAAAGCTTGAAGACTCGGGAACTCGCTCGGGTTAACAAAGTGGATCGTAGCATTGTCAACATCTGACGATCGTATTAACCTTTCATGTAGTACGGTTTTTGTCTAGGCTATAAAAAACTGTAGATATACTACACCATTGCGGCATTGCGGTAGTCGGTAGAGACAAACAAGTTTGCAATTATCGCGTGACCCCGAGTTCGGTGGTTGACATGAACGGTGGCCACTGGCCACCCTTTTTGTGCTCCAGAGTTTAGAGAGCTACTAGTACAGTTGAGTTGAAAAGGGCAAAATGTATATTTGCCAATACGACGCTACTCCGTCAGATAATTCACTGGCAGATTATAGACAATTCAAGAGGGAGGTTTGGCCGTGCGGGAGTGTTTCTTTACCGACACATGCATCGGCATTCGGCAAAACCACCTGCTACACCCGTGATTCATTTCAGGTGGATCTTCTTGTTGCTTTGCCACAAATAATGTCCTAACTAAGAGCATCCTCAGCAGATGCGCTATCCAGTCCTTCGTATAAGAAATAGCGCATGAAAATAAAAATAAACCTCTAGCAGATATGTCATCACATTCTTAAAAAATAACGTATCCGCTAAACATGAGAGATGAATGCCAAATTTGATATTCCTCTATCCTCACGCCAAATCGCAACGACCATGTTTGAATCGAGCTCCCGTCCTCATCCTCCGGAGTTCCA